CCGCCGGTCAACCCGGCTGGCGCCGGCGCGGCGGGCGCGGTGATGATGAGCCTGGCGGAGGAGCTGCTGACTAAGAAGGGGCTGAGCCTGAAGGACCTTCACGAGGAGCAGGAGGAGTATGCAGAGACGGGGGACAAGGTGGGCGGAAGACGAGGGGGCGCCGTTTGCAATTTTTTTAGCGGGGGGGGGCGCGGCTTTGTCGGGCGCGTTTTTGGAGGGGTATGATACCCCCGAGCACAATCCATGTCTGTGCACGCGTGAGTGGGTGAGTGCGTGTGCGTGTGCGTTGCCTGGTGCGCACTGAGGGGCAAGGGAGGGAGGGCTCGCAGGAGCCTGGGCTGTGAGTGTTGCGTCAGTGGGGCTGATGGCGACAGAGATGGGAGGAAAGAGCCAGGCACAAGGCTGGGCTCCACAGCACCAGGGCTGACGAGAGATGGACTGGGCGTAGTGCTGCCTGCAGCACGAGGCTGCGCCAGCGCGTCACCACCCTCGGTGCGGCCGAATATTGTGCAAGCTGGCGCGGGACAGCCGCTCCCCCCACGCAGGCAGACGCACGCTCACTCTGCACCAGCACAGCAGCGCACCGGGCGGCCGAAAAGCAGCTGGCAACAACGCGCCTATGCCACGCTGCCTCCCGCCCGCAAGCAGCAACACCTGAAGGCGCCCCCTCACCTCTTATCTCACCCCGTGTCGCCACCCCCCTCCCCTCCCCTTCCCTACCCTCAAAGGTGGCCATCCCGAAGGACAAGCGGCCGGTGACAAAGCACTGGAACTGGGTGGGCCTGGCCATCTTCCTCTACTACTTTGGGGCGCTGATTTACTACATCATCATCCGCGCCACCAAGACCCTGAACATGGGCTACCTCGGGTGCGCGCTTTTCTGGTTCTTTGCTCCAAAGCCTGGAGGCCCGCCGCGTCGCTGGTGCTGTCAGCCCTGTGGCCGCAGCGACGGCTGGGGTCAGTGTGGGCGTTGGCTGGAGGTGGACTTGTGGGTCTGTTGGATGCCAAATTCAAAGCAGCGGCGAGCTGTTTGCGGTAGGACGGCATCTGGATGCCTCGCAGCACCATCTTTGCACCGCCAGCGGCGCGCCGGAAGCGACAGCCGCTTGTGTCGCGCCCGCACCCTTCGCCCTGCCGCACCCTTTGCTTCAACCGCCGGCCCCCGCGCACCCCAACACCCCGCAGCTACGGCATCCTCGTGCTGCTGATCGAGATTGTCTCCTCAACTGCCACCATCGGCTACGCCGTGCTGCTGGTCAAATACTCCAAATCGCGGCGCACTAAGGGCCTGCCAATCGCCAAGAAGGGCCAGCAGCCGGACCTGGACAACCTCGCGTTCCACGTGCGCGTGCTGGTGCCGTGCTACAAGGAGAGCGTCGAGCTGGTCAAGATCACGGTGCTGGGGGCGGTCAAGGCGCCCCTGCCGCGCAACACGCTGCGGACGGTGTACCTCTGCGATGACGGCAAGGTGGGCTGCCGTTGGGGGTGGTTGGGGGCGGTTGGGGGCAGTTGGGGTTGCTGCTGGGATGGGGCAGGGGCGCCTGCAGGGAGGCTGTCACAATTCGAAGAAATTGACAGAGCACAGCAGACGCGGATGCGGGGTGATGAGTTGAGGGCGCGGCGGTGGTGTGGGCGGCGCTCCCCCGCAAATGTCAGGCGTGTTCCGCGACAGGTCAGCAGCTGGCAAGGCCCTGTGTAGCAGAAGCTTGGGAGGTGCCAATGGGCAGGCAGCGGCGGCCGTGACGGGCGACGAGGGCGACGAGGGCGGCAGAGCGAGACGGGGCCTGGAGTGAAGGCGACGCATCGCTTGCAATGCTTGAAC